CCTCCCCAAAAAGGAAGAAAGCACACCAAGGAGCCACTGAGGGTCCACACAAACCTTTTTTTATTCAGTTGATTCACTCTGGGGTTCATCCCAAATCTCCACACCCTCATCCCCAACACACGGAGACAAGACTCATCTCTCTTCAGAACAACAGGGCCAGCAGCCACACTCTCGCCAGGTCTCCCTCGCCCACCCCACAGTACACTGCAGGGCCGCACGGGCTGGAAAGCTGCAGGCTGTGAACACCTCTAAAGCAGAAGCCTCAGCCCCCAAGTCCCACCAGGTGTCGGGCAGTTCAAACCTACACACAAAATCTGATACCTCCCTGGACCCTGGGCACACCTGTTTCACAGCCCTCCCCGCAGGCATGGCAAGCTGTTCAGAGCCCTTTCTGGACCTGCACATACCAACACTTTCCCATGGCCAACGCTTCCACCCAGTGAGATACGGGCCAGAAAATTAAGGCATTTGCGGGGAATTAGAAGGGGAAAAGCATTTATTAAAGTTATAATAACACACCAAAAATGTCCATCATACCATTTTGGGGACAGGGAACTGGGGATGGAACCCAGGGCCTCATGCATGCCAGGCAAGCACTGTACCACTGAGCCACACCCCCAGCCCTCCATCGTACTTTTGAAAGCTCTTAACAAGAGCAAAAACTGCCGTGGTTCCAGCCACTGCAGGAAAATTCATGTTCACCACCAAAGCAGAAAGTGCAACAGGGTTGGTGGGAGCATCTCTCCAGCATATCCCAGGCAGAGGCTCAGGGCCTGTCACACCCAACACAGGCAGTGGGAGATGTGCAGACACCCCAGGGCAGAGCAGACTAAACTACAGCTGCAAAATGTCATCCTGTATGTAGAGAGCTGTGATCACAAACATCACATTCAAACAAGACTGATGCACATGTGCACATTACCTGGTATACAGGGACCTTGAAATAAAGCAACTTAAGGAAGAAAAGACCCTGAGCAACACACAGTAAGGCAATGGAAGTCCCTCCTGCCACCCCACTCGCTCCTCCCACTGACAGTCTGGAATGGACACACGTCACTGTGGAATTCTGCAGCAGGACACGAGTCCCTCTGTCCATGCGTGCATATCAGTTACTTTACTGCACAGAGGGAGTCAGAATGAATGGGAGGAGGGAGTGAGGCTCCAGTGAGCAGGGAGAGAAAGGAGGGCCAGTGGGAAGAGGTACTTCCAGGAGAGCAATCTGCACTGGTGCAGAATCTAAACTCCTAGAAGTCAGCACTGGCTGCTGAGTGCCTGGTGGGTGGGTGGGCAGGCAGGCAGGAGGCAGAAGCCAGAGCCTGTAAGGTCACCGAGCCACACTTGGAATCATCATGAGCATTCAGTGGTACCACAGGCTCCCAGGGCCTGAGGGAGGGGGCAGTCTACCCTTAGACGTCCACACCACTTCCTGTGTCTCTCAGGGATCCGGTGGCCAGAGGCTTAGCACAGAGTATCTGCACTTCTCAAGCCCATGGGGGATCTCAGGTCTCATCCTTAGGCCGAAGGCAGCAGGAACATTGCGACACCCTTTACCAGAGGGCAGGCTACTGCAGACCCAGGAGCTCTGGTGGAGATACACACTCGCTGCAGCACTGAAGGCCCCAAGCTTCAGGCTGCAAAGACGATTCACGAAGGGCAGCTAACATTTTGCTCCATGACCAAAAGCATTTTAAAAAGCAAATATACTGCACTCTGCCATCTTCATTTTATAAAAGGACATTTTATCCTCCTAGTAGAAAAGACATGATTTCAGAATCTAAGACAATCCTGTCAGTTGAATCAATGTGTCTTCATCCTGCTCCCCTGCACAGAGCCCCCGCAGCCCAGGGTCACACTGTGGGCCACGCGACTCCAGCTTCCCCTGTTGCAGCTCTAGGTCAAGCTTGGGCCTCCCAGTCACAGGTTCTCCCAGCATTGTCACTGCCTCAAAGGCACATCCAATATGAGGAGGGACAGCAGTCCTGACAACAGCGACTCATGTGCAGCCTGGGAGAGGCGCAGCAGCTGTTCTCACACCTGATGGAGCGAGCGCTCACTACGCACAGGGCACGCCCGCCCACAGCCACGTGGACAGCCACAGAGCCCAGGCCGGAGCAGCTCTTGGGCAGGTCCCTCCCCTAGGCAAGCCCATGACTGCTGTAAATTTCTCTTTCACAAATTTTTTATTTGAAGGATCAATTCATGGAAAAACTTAAATTTATGGTACTTAAGCCTGATGACAGAAACACAAGTCCTGTTAGAAACTGCTAGTGACCTATTTAACAGGGACACTCTATTACCAAACATCAAAACAAACACCAAAACACAAGCATCACTTAAATATAGCTATTTAAGTCTCTTCTGGAACAAGACTTAAATAGCTATATAAATAACACAGGCAAAAATGAAAAGTCAAACAACATGAGACACTGATGGGTTTTTGGAAATACATCTAAAACCCTTATCCAGGATTCCAAAGCTGAATTCTCAGAGGTACAATACTACCTGCCACCCCATGCTCACAGCAACCACAACTTGGGGTGCAATTTAGTGGCCCGCAGCTGCCCGAGGAAGGCTGAGGACAACATTCAGGCTCATCCCTCCAGTGCGTTAGCCCCTCTCCTGCACTGGGCCAGGCGGGCAGCACCTCACCAGATCCATATTTCCTCATGATGTGGGATGTAGTGTCCCAGGGCTTAGAAGCATGACTTCATAAAGTGCTCAGGTGGAGGGAGCTAGTCTTTCCTATCCTATAATCTATCCTTAAAAACAAAAGAGAAAGAGAGTTTTAGTAAAGTGAGTCTCGCTAAAACAGGGAAGATGACCTTTGTCGTTTACCAACACTATTCTCAGATCCAGGTTTGGCAGCTATGAAGGCTCAAACAAAAGGATGAACCTCAAAGTTGTTGGGATTCCAAAACAAAAATTGGCAAAGGGAAAGCTGAATATGCCCTCTGCAAATGAAGAGCAGTGACCCTAGCCAGGCAGGATGCACACACCTGTAATCCCAGCAATCCAGGAGGCTGAAGCAAAAGGATTGCAAGTTGGAGGCCAGCCTCAGCAATTTAGCAGACCCCTAAGCAACTCAGACCCTATCTCAAAATAAAAAATAAAAAGGGCCAGGGATGTAGCTCAGTGGTATTAACATACCCCTGGTTCAATCCTGAGTACCAAAAAAACAGGCTACAACCCTGGCCACCTGCAGACCAGCTGGGGTACAACCCATGCCAGGGGAAGACCAGGAGTGGGCCACTATCCTGGCTCATTCATTCTCTCCCCAGACACATTACCTCCCTGGCCCAAATGGATGATCCGTTGGTTCCATTCTTCTCGAGACCATGGGAGACGGTTCAGTAACCAGAAGCAAGGCACTCCTGCACAGACAGCACTCTGGGCGCTGCTCTTCAGTCTGAGAACACAGCCCCTCAGTGTGTGAAGAGCCTCGGTACACCTCACCTGCAGCTTCTCTCCCCCTGAGCCAAAGGGCAGAAGCGGGAAACCTCACCAGGAAATCAGGAAAGGGCTCCAAGTGGCATCAGTGAACTGCTCACTCCAGAAAGCACTTTCAACTCTAAATAGCCAGCCCATCTCCAGGGACAAGAGACCCCTGCAGGATGGGTGGTCTATATGCAGGAGGCTCAGAAGTCCACATAACCTCCCCTAACTCACTAAAGCTCCTGCCCAAGCCATCCAACTCTGGGCCTAGTCCTACCTTGAGTGCCTCACAGAACACACCTGACTCTCTCCTGGGCTGGAGCCCACCCAGCACGTCGCTCCAGCTATGGCGGCCCCCACCTACCCTTCTCTCCTCTCTTAGGAAAGGTCTCTCTTACTCAGTCGGACCTGAGCCCAAGTCCCTCCCAGGGGCAGCATGGAGCCAAATCTCAGGGCTCAGGAATCCAGGCCACCACATTCCGACAGCTGGGCAAATGCCCAGGACTGGCTTTTCCCTCTGAATCACCTGCTGGCTTCTCCCTCAGAGCTGCATGTGTCCACACAAGGTGCCCAGTGCTCTGGCAGGGAGCCCACCCACGACACCTAAAGAGGTACAATTCCATCCTTAGGCTCTAGAACATAAAGGCCATATGTCACCTGCCTGGTTGGCTAAAACACATGTGATGCTAAGAATTATTAACATATCATCAATTTTGACAAGTTAGATTTTCACGTGGCAGAAATTCTAAACACTTAGGAAGTTTAGAATCATCACAAATCCTGACAATAGTCCTCAGAGGCTTCAACTGGCTAAATAACATTTCACTAGGAAATGCTCTGAGGCCACAGACCCTGGCCCCACCTGCCAGTGACCTTCACTCCTGGCTGCACAGCCTTGAGGGAGGAAGCAAGCCCCACCCACACAGCCACAGATACCTGCAGTGACAGTCATCTCTCCACAACTGCCAGCTCTGGACAAGTGGGAAAGACTTCTGGCCTCACTCCTCTCCCCTGCCTTAGACTCTAGACACAGCTACCAAAGCCGCTAGGCCCAGAAAGTGAAGGGCAGTCAACCAACACCAGATGTGTTGTCCACTGGACACCAGCAACTGAATGCCTGGAACCATCCAGGGACTGGAGACAGCGCTTCAGGTGTTTCTCATTATAACTGGCAGTGACAGCTGTTAGGATGGTCCCCATCTAAAAGTAGGCTGCCATATCCTGGCTGGTTCGTTCTCTGTGGGCCTCCTTAAATCAGTCACAGTCTGGAAGCTTCCTAAAGTGAAAAAGGCAGAAAACTCCTGACACCATTGGCAGGAGGCGAGGTACAGGAGGTATGAGAATAAGTCATGCACCGTGACCACCACACCCAGATAACACTGACAGCCCGCGCAGCCAGGAAACCATCCTTGAATGAAGGCAACTCACAAAAAGAGCATGAGAGTGGTAGGAAGTGGGGGTATGTCGAATGCACACACCAACCCCAGAAGCAGGGAAAACAAACTAGCAAGTTCATGAACTGCATTTCTGTTCCCTACTTAATTTTTTTTTTTTTTACCAAAACTCCATTTCATTTAGATATAAGGTTTTAATAGAATAATTAAATTGCAAAGTAGAAAAATAAATAAAAGCACAGTTCTGGAAAGTGCTAGGAGTCTTCCCTACTGGGGCTATCAGCAGGCCTCCAGTCTCACCCACACCTGCACACAACTTCATGGCCCATTTCATTAACATACAACTGCAAAAATCCAAAACAGAAGTATTTAGGAAGAACAAAATTAAGTTTTGTATGAGCCTCTCTGCTGACAATGACCCAAGGACTGTTTGTTCCGTGGCCCCAGCACCTGAGATGGAATTACAGTCCATGAGAACAGGCCGTCTCTTCACCAGCGATCGGCAGCACAGGATGGTTCACAAGATGCAGGCATCAGCGGTGGCTCTCCCTCAGATCACCTGCATCTTCTACTCATAAAGTAGAAACTTTTTAATGGGGTCTGGCAGGGGCAGCGAGGGAATCAGATGAAGTCGGTGTTTGCCAAGAGCTCTTCTCACGGCCACCCGGCACAAACTCAGCAAGGTCCTTGGAATGCCTGGAGAGTTGTGGGAAGAAACGGAGATCAGGGAAGATAAATTCCTGTCCCCACTGTGGAAGCCAAAGGCTGGCTGTGACTGACAGAGCCACACTAATGCCCAGGCCAGCCCTGGGAGCAGGGTCTTATCTGCTCCTTCCATCTCCACAGCCTCTTAACCAGGGGCATCTGCTCACTGTAACAGCACCTCCTCTCTCTACTACATTTAAAACCCTAGACAAAATAAGAGCTGCCCACTGAAGGCAGATGCAAGCAACTGACCCTCACTATTGGGAGTCTCAGATGCTCCAAGGGAGTTGAGGGCCAAGAACTGAGGATTCATGAGGGGAGCAGGCTGACCATCTGCTCTGGGTCAAAAAGGCATAGCCAAGCTCCTGCCTGGGTTGGTGAAGAGGGTAACAAGTGATACTCAAGAACACGTATCTGAATTCAATCAGCACAGCTCCCAGCCTCACCAGTCAACTAATTTTGGAAGAGCTGAACAAGAGCACGCAGCAATGAACCAACCTATGTGAATTCAACAACAAAAGGCTTCAAGGTTAACGATCTGTGCAAAAGGTAAAGAGCTGAAAAGAAGTCATTATTGGACACTGGGCATCCAGGCAGAAATGGGGAAGGGGCACGCAGCCTGGAGGTCAGAGGACAACAAGGTCAGCTTCTGAGGCCCACAGAGAGCTACTGAGGCCAAGTGCACCAGCAGGCTCACTGATCAATTCCAAACTCCCTGTCATCAACTTATTCATTTAGCAAAACCTTTCCTTCAAAAATGAGCAAACTACAGACTTTATTCTAACAAAAATTACTTATCACATCATTCAAACTAATGCTATTGAGTGCAGCTAAAGAAAGGGATGTGAGGAACCCTAGAAAATGGGCTTACAGGTTTGCTCTTTTTAAAGCCACGTGAAAAAGAAATCAATGACTAACAATTTGTGGCCACAAAGCAGAGCAAAGGGGTAAAGAGAGGATAATTCTAAATATGTTGAAAACATACATGCACTTTCATAGATTTTCTGTTATCCGCTCATGGTGTTTAAGAATCACAGAAGAGACTAATCTGAACAGCCATTCTGGAAAACTGCTTGTCCCAACTGAGGATCTTGGCCAAGTGCTTAATTGGGTCTGTTTTGTTTTATTTTTAATTATTACCTCTTGCTCATTCAATCAATCCCACCAAACTATTCATCAGAACACTCTGACCACTTACTTCTGGCCTCCTTAAAGATCTGCAAGGCCTCGGGGTCCACCTTCCTTCTGCCCCTCGACTCTGGGCCCAATGAGTCCCACTTCACCAGGTTCAGGTCGGCTCCAAATTCCACCAGCAGGCTCACGAAGGCTGCCTCACAGCCATGACGCAGGACGGCATCCATGACACACCCAGGGGAGCCCCTGTAGAACTCCTGGGTGTTGACAGGACCATTGCAATTGAAGTCGGGGTTGGCCCCGGCCTGCAGAAGCAGCCTGAAGCACTGCAAGTTGTGGTAGGCCGCACTGATGTACAGGGGGCAGACCACCAGGGAGGTGAGCCGCCTGGAGAAGGGGGGTTGGGTGTCAGGAGTCAGGTGATGGTTGACATCGACGTCAGCCCCATACCTACAGGGGAGAGGAAAATCAGGCTTATAGTGGACTAACCAGTCCACAAAGACTGCCCCAGTCACCCTAGGAGAAAGGCTTTAACACAGTGACAACGAGAGCCAAGGAGGCTCCGGAGATCACAAATGTGGCCACCCCTCCACATAAGCAGGCCCTGCATTTGAGCATTCAACCAACTGCGGATCAAAACCTTTGGAAAAAAAAAATTGTACTGAACATGAACGGTCATTTTCTTTTCGTTATTCCCTAAATAATACAGCAAGATAACTATTCACATAGCACTTCCGTTACATTATGTACCTTAAGTAATCTAGAGATGACTGACAGTCTACAGGAGGATGTGCATAGGTTCTGCTCAAATATCGTTCTCTAGGAGGGATTCAGCATCCTCAGATGAGTGTCCTCCAGGGTCTTAAAATATCCTGGAACCAATCTCCACAGATGCCAAGGGACAACTAAAGCTTATTCCTTCCAGCAAGATAAGGCAGTAAGTAAAAATGTGGATACCACTCACCCAAAAAACTCCTGTGGGAAGTCCTTCTGATCTTTACAGATCTAGGAATTCCAAGACCACTGAACCTACTTCAGAGTGAAGAAAAAGAAGGAAAACTTCCAAATTCATCTTATGAAATCAGCACAATAATCCCCAAACATGACAAAGGACATATACAAAGAAAAACTACCAACTAGCTTCATTTACAAGTACCAAGCTACAATTTTTCAGTAAGATATTAGCAAAGAAAATAATTAAGAAAGCAATATACTATGACCTCCTGGGGTCATCCCAAGAATGTAAGGCTAGTTCCAACATTAGAGACTCCATTAACAACACAATCCATCCTATTAACAGAACTAAGGAGAAAATACTCTATCTCCACAGATACAAAGGTAAGGAGGTGCCTGTGACAAAACTCAACACTTAGGATTTCCTTCGAGTGATGAAATATATTTCCTCCACCCATGAGTCAGAAGTTGTGTACAGACTCCCAGGTGCTGACCGCCTCTGTGCACTGGTACTAAAGGTCCAACAGTACACTGGGGCCAAGGAAAGAACCAGACAAGTGAGACAAAAATGCCTCCCACTCACGGTTGCGACCAGTCTCCACAAAGGCCTACACAATGCCTTTGTGCATACACACAAAACCAAGTGAAAGATGAAAGGGAAGAGAAGACGTCCTCTGTGCTAGCAAAATAAATGTCAAAATGACAAAACTAAGCATAAACTTAATAAATGTTCAAAGTTTGCATGAGGAAAATGTAAAACACTAACTAAAGTGACAGAACCAGGCCTAAGAGAACAGAGACATGCCACATAAGCAACGTTGTAATATCACTTTTCCCTGTGTTTGTTTGTTAAGTGAAAATACCTTTCCTAAACTAAGCTGGTTACAAATATAAGCAAATACAAATGGCATCCTTGGAGCCATATAAACTGATTATGCAACTGGAAGATAAAACAAGATGAAAAAGTCACTGCAGGGGAGGCAGCCCTACCTCAAGCACAGACTGCTATAAAGGCCTATAAAACAAAGGCACGTGGACAAGCCAACAGAACCACAGAATCTCACAGAAAACCCAGAAATGGACCAAACTGCATACAGAAATGCAGGCTATGGTTAGGTAGTACCTCAAATAAGTAGGGGACAAATGGACTTGCACCAGGATAAATTCAAATCAATCAGAATTAAAAATACAAAAAATATGAAACCATGTAGAAATCAGGAAAAAAAAAACCTCTGGGTAAAACCTGCCTTATGGCTACACAAAATTAACAACCAAAAAACTTTCTTACATAGAAAAAAAACTGCACAAAATAAATAAAACAAAAAAATTAAAAATTGGGAAAATGCTATAAAGGGTTAATACCTTTAACACATAAAAATCTTCTAAATGGCAAAAATCAACAGCGCTATGAAAAAACAAGCTGAAGATATGGACATTTATAAATGGCTCTTAGTCCCATGAAAAAACGCTCATCCTCAGTCAGAAAAGAAATGCAAATTAAAAACTATGCCACAATACCACTTCTCGCCTCTCACATTGGGAGAAAATCCAAAAATGTACTGACCAGTTTAAGGTCACCCACTGCTGGGGCAATATAAAATGGAACAATCTCTATGGAAGGGAAACTGTCAATTGCTACCAAAATCACACATGCATTTATCCCTTGACCCATCCATTACACTTCTTGGGATCTAGATTCCCAAGACACATTTGCAAAACTATGAAAAGATACACAAGCGAGGAGATTCACTGACGCACCACCTTTTGTAGCTGAGGACAGGAAAGCTCCCTCATGCCCATCAGCAGGGACTGGCTGAACTGTGGCTCATCTGAAAGCAGCAGGGCTCTGCTGTGACAAGTAAGGAGGAACCGCACTGCTCTGGGATGGCCTCCAGAGCGCACGAGTAAGGGAGAAAAGCAGGATGGTCACAGTGTGCGGTGTGTAGCACACACTCACACATGTGTGTCTGCTTATTGGTGACAATGAAAGGATAAACCGCAGAATTTTGTAAACGGTTACCTATAAGGGAGGGAGAAAACAGGACAAAGAAGACAAGATTAGAAGTTACACTTTTTAAAACATAACTGTTTCATAGATTTGATCTGAACCTTGTAAATATTTTGCGTAGTGAAATAAAATTAAATAAAAAACAATCCCTAAAAATTCAAAGTAAAAAGAAACCGATGAGCCCCACTGACCATCTAGCTGGTGCTGTCACGTCCTGCCCAACAGGAAGGACGTTCTTTTCAGACACACTAAACACTCGCTCGGTTAGCCCAGACCATGCCCGGCGTCAGCTTCCATTGCAAGACCCTAGGAGAGGGAGCACAGCTGGCCAGCGGGGCAGCATAACACAGCCCTACAACAGATGACTGAGTCCTTAGAGAAAGAGAATGCAAGACTGACTGGGGCCAACTGTAAGATGAGACTTGAATATGTCATTACCTGAAAAAGAAACTGCCCAAAGAAAGGCAGGACATGTACAAAGGACACAGAGCTGGCTTGAAGCAGCTAATAGCGGCCAAACATGAGACAATTTGAGCATCAAAATAAATAACAGTAACACTGCACAGGAGCTCACTTGACAATCTAAGAAACCACGAGTCTACACTAATAAGTAAACAAACTTCTGAGATGAGGCACAGGCGAGACACATATACATACCTGTACGGGGGCCAAGTGCCTCTACAAAACACTAATTACAAAGAGAAGAAGAATTTTTATTAAGAAATCTGACAGACACCACATTAAAGTGATCACCGGCAATAATGTGACCAACTGAAATCATGCAATCTGATAGGAGGTGACAGGCACACAGCCTCACTTCTGCAGGCCTCCTGCCCAAGATGTGATACCCAACTCTGGACTCACCACGAGCAGCCTCAGACCGCTAGCACAGCACCTGTTTCCTCGAGCCTTCACTGGCCCCAGACAGCCCTGGGATGTTTCAAAAGCCATGTCTTCACCTGAGTACTTCACTGAAACAGGAAAGGTCAATACGAAGGAAGACACGATGAGGATGCCCAGCGTGCAGGAGATGGAGGAGCAGATTTCCCTTACAGAAATGCCTGGCCAGCAATCCACCAACAATCACGTTTTATTCTCTGTCTCGTCAGCACCACTCCAAACATCCAAAAGAACTTTCTCCAGAAGCCAAAGTGATGCTTTCAGGCAACACAGGCCTGAGGACAAGCACCCAGACCAACAAGCCCACACGGTGATGTTGCTTCCACTATAAATGAAAACCTTAAAATAGTGGATGGGAAAGCAAAGAAAACACTATCATAGAACAAAAGACACTGACACATGCCTCTGATCCCAGCTACTTGGGAAGCTGAGGCAGGAGGATGGTGGGTTCAAGGCCAGCCTCAGCAACTTAGCATGATCCTGTCACAAAACAAAGCAAAAAAACATACGAGATATCAAATAAAGGAAATAATTTAAAAAGCAGACAACAGAATAGATGCTAACATCAGCTATGACAATGATATTAACTACATCAGAAAACAGAATTCCAGAATTCAAATAACTCTATATGAACACACACAGCTAGTTAAATTCAAGATTAAAACTAAATATTATATAATGCTATGTAAATGAGCTTAAATAAAAATGAGTAGTGTTCATTTGGATAACAAATTATAAGTAATAATTTTATGAGCTCAGGAAACATCAAAATTATTTAAAGCAAAACACAAGGGGAAACTGACAAAAGTCACAACAGTTGATTAGAGACTAACAAACTTCTCTAAATTTCTGGCAGATCTTATAATTAAGAAAAAAAATGTAGGGCTGTGGCTATGGCTCAGTGGCAGAGCACTTGCCTAGCATGTGTGAGGCACTGGGTTCGACCCTCAACACAACATAAAAATAAAACAAATAAAGGTATTCTGTCCATCTACAACCACACACACACAAAAATTTTTTTTTAAATGTTAAAAAAAAAAGGAGGGATTCTAAACAGAATAATTTAGGCTACCAACCGTACTATGTGAATAAAACACCCATGGTCATGTGCTTTGCCCAAGCATCCACAACAATGTAGCCTGACTTTAATAAATAATGTGAACTATAGGGTCCACATTACCTGAGCACACTACAATAAAATTAGAAAGTGATATTATACTTTCTCCTCTATAACTCTAGATCAAAGAGGAAATCAACTTCAATTATTTAAAAAATAATAATCTCAGCAATTTAACAATGAAAAAAGGAAGTTTAGAGGACGTGGCAAAGGCTATAAAAAAAAGGTAAATAAATAAATGTTTACATTATTAATCAAGAAAAAAATGAAAAATCATTCATCGCAAAATCTTAAGGGAAAAATAAAGAGTAAAAAGTATATAAAAATGAATCATTAAGCAGAAACATAAGAAAACTGATAAAGCTAAGAAGTAGCCTTATTAAAATACTAGCCAAATACATGAGTGGCAAGTCTAATTTTAAAGAGGGAAAAACTAATACAGAAAGCAAGGAGAGTGACAGTGGGGGCTGCAGGAGCGGCAAGGACGTGGCCGTGTGCCCGGCAGCAGGCCTGAGCACCCCAGTACTGACCTGATGAGGGCCTTCAGTATGTCAGCTCTGCCCACTCGAGAGGCATGGTAGACAGGGGTGCTGCGGTGGTGCCGGCTTCCGTTGGGGTCAGCACCAGCTTCGAGAAGGATCTGGGCACTCTCCAGGTGCCCATTCACCACAGCCACATATAGGGCGGTCTGCCCCTTTACATCTACCAGGTCCACCTCGGCTCCCTTTCGGATAAGGAAGTCCACACAGTTCCCGTGACCTGCGGTGGCAGCAATTCTCAGTGGCGTGCAGGGGAGCCAGCCACAGCACCAGACAGACTTTTCGTTGATGCGGCTACAGGGGAACACAGGGAATTGTGAGAGATGCCCCCAGGAAAGACCGGCTGTTCTGCCCTCTCACAATGACAATGTGACACAGAGGCTGCCCAAGGGGACCAATCACTCACTGTTAAATCCCTCAGGTTTAACAATGCCTCCACTTGTCTTCTGTGAGTCTTGACCCTGTGAGGGCTGGGCTGGGCTGCAATGGGCAGAGCTGGGCAGGGAAGGGCAGGGCAGGCACTGAGATCCCATTCTGGAGATGAGGAACCGGGGCTCAGGCGGAATGATCAGCATTAGAAGTTAAGAGTCCTAGTTCTTAGATTTCCTGACCCAAAGCACTCTCCTCTACAAAGGAGAAAAAAAGGCACCAGACAGCACAGCATGGACAGGACCCTCAGTGGGAAGCCAGTTCAGGGATCTGAGCTCCTCTCACCAGTCACATGCTGTGAAGGCTGAGGCTGGGGCTCTGTCTGGGCCTTGCCATTATCACCAGGCCTAGGTGACCAATAAATCAGTGACTGAGGAGTCACTGTGATGGCACAGGGAATGTAGCCCTTGTCAGCCGTAGGAAACTGTCCAGACTTAGCTCTCAGAAGTGCAACCATCAGACGACACTACTAAGGCCTCCACTGACCCCCCCAGGTCAGCAACAGAGACGCAGTTTTTCACCTTTAGCTCCCAAGAGAATGCAGAACAAAGCTCAGGAACCCAGAGCACTGAACCAGGCACCTGTGGTAGGCAGCATGTCCCCAAACTAGCCCTTCCGCTAAGTACCAGCTTGGATAAGCCAATCAAGTCCAGAACTCATTACCAAAGAAAGAAAAAGAAAGATATTATAAGAGTTTCGCTGAATCTAAGAAAAAAGGAGGGAAATCCACAGAAAAGCAACATGAAACACCTGGAGGGACCTCCTTCACTCCACCATCACATCCGCAAGATTAACTGAGCGGGGACAGTGAGTCCTTCACATTAAGTAAGTTAAAACATGGGTAGATTTTTTTTTTTAGTACTGATATCTGCTGTCATGAAATAACGCTAGGATAATGGAAGGACAAAGAGAAAGGAATATCTTCCTGGACTATTCGCAACGTTTTTCTTAGGAACCATCAACAGAAAGCAGCAGCATTGGTTCCAGTACACAGGCACTTCCATCAAATCACTGCCACCTAGTTCTAAAGTGGATGCTGAAACCCAGAAACAATACAGAGGGGTTTTGAGTTTAAAATGTACTTGGGACTCCAGTCCCAGACATACAAAGCAACCAGGAACACTCCAGAGAGAAGGCAGGCTGGGTGCCCCCCCAGTGACCTACACAGGGAGACAAAAAGGCAGGACTTTGGTGAGTAACAGCAAATCAAGAGACAAGAAGTTACAGGCAGGGGAACAACATGGAGGAACCCCACATCTTTGGGGTGAAGACAGCGGCCCACAGCAGACAACTGCAGGCCAGAGAGCACCAAAGGAAACCAACTGAGGAAGGTGGCTGTGGGTGCACAGGACACTCAGAAGGGCAAGGCCTACTAAAGAAGGTGACAGTGCCACCATCAGGAACAGCACTGAGAAAACTGATGTCCAGAGAGGCCGGGAGCTGCCAAAAAATATAAAGGACGATGATGGAGCTTCATTTGAACTCAGATCCCTGCCACTATTCAGTCACCTCTTAACAACTCTGATTATGCCTCCGCAATCTCCTTTCCGTCCATCCTCAAAAGCTGGAATGTGCTCCTCCAAGCACCAGGGGCTTGGTCTGCAAAGCAAACCATGAACCACAGATCCACGCAGAGCCAAAGGGGCCTGAGAACCTGGAGCAGCCTGGGCAGCAATGCTCACCTCCGATAGTTCTCCTCTTGCAACAGGTTCCTGAGGGTCTGGAGGTCCCCCACGTAGGCTGCATCATGGAGCCTCGTGTCCTCACAGTGCTCCAGCGGATGGTCACAAAACTGCTCCCTCAGCCACTCCTTCAGATTAGGACCTGCACTGAAGAGAGGGGCCCCTGTTAGCACTGGAAACATCGAAAGGCCAACCAAAAAGACGCACCATCTGCACTAAGCTCTGCCTCTTCCAGCTACACAGGTGCTTTCAAACTCTCAATAGATAAATCACAGAAAAGACTATAGAGAGCTTCCCTTATAAAACTAGCACCTTCCTGACACCAAACCTCATTTTTAAAACAAACTTTAAAAAGATGACAGAACCAATGGTCAAACATATTTCAGAATACAGAAGCAAGATCCTAAATAAAAATATTAGCAAACCAAAATGTGGGAGACCAACCGTACACATGACTGAGTCGCACTCCCTGGCTGGGTGCTGAGGCGCTCAATCAAGCAATGTGGCAGAGCTTTCCCCACCCTTCTTGGGTTCGAGGGTCAGTGTCTCGTGCCTGGGTGTGTCTTGCTACAGCCCCATGGTGAAGCTACACTCACCTGTTCCTTTGTAATATAACCCCTTGCCCTGCTTAGGATGGAATCTTCCACATACAAGTGCCTTGTGTGTGTCCCCTCCTCTTACTGTGCCCTTGGGTGTGGCCTACCCAGGTGTCAGTCAACCTGCTGACAGTGGACATCATGAAGACAGACTCAGCCCACTAAAATCTGACCCCTTGCCTCATTTGAATAGCTTCTCCTCAATAAAAGGGGACAGCACGTACTCTCTCTCTCTCTCTCTCTTCCTGCAGTCCCTTAAGGTCAGAGGAGCTGTCACAGCGACCCCAAAGAAAAAGGTATTTGTGTCTCTTGTGTGGTTATTTTGTGCAGCCCAGTTAGCCCAATTTAACTGGAGTAACCCCTGAGCCTTTAGTCGCTAATTGAAACCCGACACCGAAACAAAAACTACTGTATCAAAAAAAAAAATCTTGGGGCTGAGGCTGTGGCTCAGCAGGTAGCACGCTTGTCTGGAATGCATGAGGCACTGGGTTCGATCCTCGGCACCACATATAAATAAATAAATGTCCATTGACAACTAAAAAAAATATATTGAGAAAAAATCTAGTGTGTAATTACTCTAATTTATCCTAAGTATATAAGGATATCTTAAAATTAAACCTAGGGAACTATGAAGGAGAACCTTAGTCATCTCCATCACAGAGAGACTCATGTGCCAATATCCTAGCACTAAGCAGGTGCTGTGGCCTGCAACAGGAAGATGCTACACCATGCTACTCTGTCTATATAAACATGACTCATCACATACGCTACTGTACCCTCAGAGGTTCCTGTGTTGGAAAAGCTGTGGCTCATGGGAGGTCAGTGGGAGAGTACCTTTGGAAGTGACTGGGTATTTCTCATGGGACACTGGTTAGTTCTCATCAGAGAGTTGTAAAAACCTAAGCCTGGCCCTACCCAGTCGCTGGCTTCTGGTTTGGTGATGTGATCACAGTGTCCACCATTATGTTTGCCATTATTTGCCATGAGGTAATGCAGACAAAGGAGGCAGGGTACATTCATCAGAGCTTTGGCCATGTTGTTTAGACTTCCAAGACCATAAAATCAATAATCTGTGTGTGTGTGTGTGTACTTGGCAGTACTCATGACTGAACCCAGGGGCACTTTATCACTGAGCTATATCCCCAGCCCTTTTTTATTTTTAAACATGGTCTTGTAATTTGGAGGGACTGACTTTGATATTGTAATCCTCCTGCCTCAGGCTGCCAAGTAGCTGGGCTTACAAGTGTGCACCACCATGCCCAGCTAAGCCTCTTTTTTTTTTTTAATGAATTTAGACTGCCTCCGTTACATCATTCCATTACATCAATGAAAGTGGACAGGTTCAGACAGTAACCTAAGATGAGTGCACTTTGCTTACAGAGCTACACGTTGATAAAAAGGAAAACTAAAATATATGACATAAATATAAATCCAACCCCATATACTAAAAGTCAATGAAGAAAACTAGGTTGAATAGAAAAATCATACCATGTACCAGGATGAGAAGATTCAATAATAGAGAAATTTTAAACAAAGTTTAACCAATAAATAAAGTTTAACTGATCTTTTTAGGGTTTTAATATCAGATATGACAAAATATTCTAAAATTCATTTATTTATTTATTAAATAATATTAAAGAATACTTATTTATTAAATAAATATAAGGAAGAATACCATTTTAGTAAGAATAATGAAAAAAAGACTCACCCTACTAGATAACAGACAGAATTTTATCAGAATAAAAAGATCAAACGGAATCAACTGTCCCGAAAGACATTAGTATAAAAAAACTTAATTTGTGATAAAGGGGCATCAAAATCAGAGAGGAGGGAAAAGGGTATTAAACAAAAGGTACCTGTTCAACTAGATACCTATTTGGATATAACTGAGTCTTCATTCACACCTTGGCCCAAATACACCATTGCCCAAAAGAAACTCCAAAATACTTAAAAGAGTTCAGCAACAACAACTGCACAGACAGGTGTGTGAGCAGAGAGCAGAAACTCAGACTGCCTGGATTCAAGTCCCTGCCCTGCCATATTACCCTAGTGTGTGACCAAGCACTTCCCTGAAGAAGCTGCCTTTTGTACGCAACTCAAATCCCCCTGGAGTACCTTCTGTATTCAAGAGTCAGTCACAGGTACAATGAGGGTGTAAGTATCTTTGCCCTCCAGGATTAGACGACCCATCAGCAGAGGCCACAAGCAGCAGCAAGATTCAAAAACACACCTGTTCTCTCACTCTGATCCCATAAGCAGACCTGCAGCAAATCAACAGGCAGACATCAAGCAGAACAGCCCTTTAAGCCACCACCTCATCCTCCTTCAGTGGTCTTCCTCCGCTGTAAGTATCCCATAGGTGCAATTAACATTGGGTGAAAAGGCTCAAAGCAGAAGTGGGAAGAAGTCAGGTGCAGGGCAACCACCGACTGTGAACAGGAGACCTACTGTAACAGGAGACCTACGGAGGGCTTTATGAAGCCCTGGGGGCCTCCCTTTTTTGGCCTTTTACACCACCCCCTGGCCCAGCTCACTGCAGCTTCAGAATCTGCCTGTGTTCAAGAGTCAAAGACAACTTCACGTTCACATTTTTCTAATTAGCTACTCCAGTGACCACATAATCACCCCGGGATAACGTTTAAACCTCGCCCCTCCCTCTAACACACTAACAAAACAGTACAGCACACGATGCAAAAGGGGCCCTGTGAGGGGCAAGGCCGGCCTGTCCTCCCAGGACCCTCTCTACCTTGGGAATTGGCGGTCTGCCCTCTTCCCAACTGAACCCTCCACTCCAGTATCTCACTCTCACATGAGGCATTCTGGACCCAAGGTGCTGGCCGTCCCCGGGGCGGCCGTCCACACCGACCACGGCGGGCCCCTCTGCGCACTGCAGTCCCCCAGCGAAGGGTGCCGAACGCGTGGGGGAAGCAGGGAGGGACGGAACGGCCACGCGCACGGAGGCCGATCCACAGCCTTCTCCCGAGCCTTCTGCACACCCGAGTGAAGGGTGATCAACTCTCTGGGAGGGAACTCTCGGGAACCAGCAGATGGACCTGTGAGGCACCGGGCGCCCGGGAGCTCGGACAGTGCCGACGAGGGGGTCCCACCGGGGACAGAGGGACCCTCTCCTGCGGTTTCCCCCCAGCGCTGAGGCGGCGGCTCTCTGCCGCTGGACGTGCCGGGTCCCTGGCAAGCCGCAGGCTGCGCGCCGCGGCCTCCGGCCCCGCGCCCTTTCAGCAGCCGGGTTAGCAAGCCGCGCAACCAGCGGCGGCCGTTACCGGGCCCGGTCCTGGGGGCGGGCGGCCTGGCCTCGGCAGGCCCGGACCCAACCCCGCGGCCCCGCGCCCACGCTACCTGCGGGCCCCGGCCCTGCCCGCCCGTCGGGGCCGCCGCCCTCCGCCATGGGTGCACCAGCCGCGCCTCGGCCCCGAACCCGGCGGCCAATCTGCCCTCCGGAGACCCGGGCCGGAGAGCGCCCCGCCCGCCGGAAGCAGCGCGCCGCGATCACTTCCGGTTCCGGCGCAGGTCGGGGTCTCCACTTCCGGTCTCGCGGCCCTATTCAAGGGCGGAGAGCGTTGAGGGGGCCTGCGCGCCGATGCGTCCACGTAGAAGGCTGAGGAGCCTGGGAAAACGCGTCCTCTTGAGTCCGCCCTATCTTCCGGCCGGGAACCGTTGGTTGGCCGGGCCGGGCGTTCCGGCCGCGGGAGGGGCGGAGCGTGTGGGAGGGGCGGGGCGAGTGGGAGGGGAGGGGCTGTGGGAGGGGCGGGGCCGCCTGCGAGGGGTCCACGTGCCCAGTGCAATCACCTGCACTGCGGCGGCCAGAAGCAGTCCCTGAAGGGCGTCGCAGGTTTGGGGTTGCTCCACGTATTCTTAGCAGCAAGGCCAAGGAAGGGAATGTGTAAAGGTGATGGATAAATGCTCCCACAATTCCTCTCATGAACCAGGAATCTTGTCTTATTTAATTACAGGTAGCGCTGACAAATTGCATCAAGTGTCTAAATGCATTAGTGAACAAACGAATGACTTTTCCTGCACACTCGCAATTTCAGATATTGCACCGTTGTCAAATTGTATGCTGCGATGGGGTTCGAAAGCATGGATACCCCCAGCTCCTTCCATTGCCCACTCTCCATACATGAGGTGGACTGCAGTGGAGAAAGCAGGGAGCACTCAAGGAGAGTGAAGAGCATCCCAGGTTCTAGAGGCAGAGGATAGCAGCAGGCTGAGACCAGAGGCCAGACACCACCCGCCCCCAAAGAGGAGGCAGTTACTCTCTGGCCAGCCTGGTGTTGCTACACACTCCAGACTGGGCTGCGGGAGCCTCCTGGTGGGAGCTGTGATTCACAGGCACCCCCAGGGCCCATGCCCAGGCTGGCTCAGAGGCACAGTCCTGTTGGCCCAGATGCAGAGGATGGGACCACCTGGGTACAGGCCTGGCAGACCCTGCTGGGTGTTTTGGGGAAACGTGTTTGAGCTTGATAACAACAGTGAGTACCACTGAGGGTGACGCCCTGTGACACTGCCTGGCAGGGAACCAGGGTGTGCTTGGATCTCTGGCTCTGCTCCACAACTGCACATTGGAGCTCTTGAAGCCTCAAAAACACTGACGGCCAAAAATGACCTGAATGTGCATGAATGGGCAGAAAGATAAACATAACTTGGTCCACCCATATAGCTTTCCATTTACAGAAGAGAGGGTTCTGACCCAGGCTACATGGGTGAGCCCAGAGGACCCATGCTCAGTGAAATAAGCCCACACAGGACAAATACTGCATGATCCCCCTCCTCTGAGGCCCCCAGAGGGGCTGGATTCATAGACGGGGAGGGCAGTGGTGGTGCCAGGTTGCTGGGGGAGGGAGGGAGGAATGGGGAGTAAGTGGGACTTTTTTGTTTGTTTGTTTGTTTGTTTGTTTTTTTGGGGGGGGTTCTGTACTTGGGATTGAATCCAAGGGCACTTAGCCACTGAGACTCATTCTCAGCCTTTTTAAATATTTTATTTAGAGACAGGAACTTGCTGAGTTGCTTAAGGCCTCACTAAGTGGCTGAAGCTGGTGGTTGTTGTTTGTGGTGCTTGGGATGGAACCCAGGGCCTTGTGCATGTGAGACAAGTGCTCTACCACCTGAGCTATAGCCCCAGCCCCGAGTTAGTTTTAATGGGAACAGTTTGAGAAGAAAAAGTTTTGGAGATTGGTTTGGTTACACAATGATGTAAATTGCAAATTAACACTATTGAACTGCATGCTTTAGAAAGGTTATAATGGGGGCACTCGCCAGGCACGTGCGAGGCTTTGGTTTGGTCCTCAGCACCACATAAAAATTAATAGATAAAATAAAGGTATTGTGTCCAACTACAACTGAAAAATAGATATTTTTTAAAAAGAAAGGTCATAATGGTAAATTTTATGTATGTTTCTCCACAATTTTCATAAAACTTTAAAGATCCTGAAGTTGGCCTGGGTGTGGCCTGGGCGACAGGTATTGCAAAGCTCCTGGTGACTCCCGCGGGTACCCGGCTTAAGGGCCTGTCTCCATCCAGCGTAATGGTGCTGCTTTCTCTGGTCCCAGGAGGTCCAAAGTAACTGTCCCTGTTCGTCAGCAGCCTTCGTGGGAAGGCACTAAGAGGCCTGAGCAGAGCCTCACTCCTGTGCCTTCAGCTCCCCCCACGGACCTCTGCCACTGCCCTAAGAACAGTGGTGCCTCTGGTCCCTGGTGGGAGGTGTCCCGCATCCCACCCCTGTTCGGCTCACGGCAGCGCGCAGCCAGCAAGTGGAAAGTCCACTGTCCCACTTTACCGAAACTGTGACCCCATTTTCAGGACCCCAAGGTCACAGCATGTGCCGGGTGCCTTTCATTTCCGGTTGTCTGCACCATCAACATCACCAGCAGGGTGCCATGGTGGGACCTCTCTGGTGTGAAAGAGTTCTGTCCCCTGACCTCTGGCTTCCAAGATGGGCTGGCAGCCAAGGACTTGAGCTGGGTGGACTGACGGACCGTCCAGGCCCATAGGAGGAATCACTGCTTTGTCCTCCCGAGCCGTCCCTATCTCCATTCATGGCATGGGGAATCACGACCCTCTCCTCATGAATGTCACGCCACCTTGATCTATACAACATCCCTCTTGCTTTGTCTAACACAGCAAAGACCTTTCATGGCACAGAAAAAAATTTAAAAAATCAAGACATGGTGAGAAAATAAATGTCCCAGAGCTGCAGTTCCTGCCATGTGATAGACAGAGGCCTGACTGTCCTCACACAGAAACAGCTAAAATGCCAAGTAAAATGTAAGAGCACATTGTCACATGCCTCCCTGGGGTGGGTCTTCAGGCTGCCCCAGAGGCCAACAGAGGAGAGAGGGCAGGAGCCCAGATGCCACCTTGTCTGCAGAGATAACTGCCACCACCCATTTGAACTTCCGCTCTGGCTGCTGCGTAGGGCGAGGCCAGGATCAGTCTGCCTGTGGGAAGCTGGTGAGTCAGCACCCTACAGAGCACACCTCAGGGTGAACAGCAACATAAACAACAAAATAAGCACCCACAAAAACAGACATCTCCCCAAGGAAGTTATACAAGTGACCGGTGAGACCTGAAAAGATACTAAACATCAAGAATCTTAGGGAAATGCAAGCCAGACCACCAAGCAGGACCATTTCACTCCTCTAAGGAGAGCACGGTGAGAACAACAAGAGGGGTCACGGGATGTGGATGAATCAGACCCCTTGGGCACAGTTGGTGGGAATGTGCCAACAATATGGCGGGTCCCCAAAAAACTAAGTACAAAATCATCATGTGACCAAGCAAGTCCACTCCTGGGCACATCCAAAAGAATTGACAGTAAGGACTTGTGCATTCTCATCCACAGCAGCATCCTTCACAATAGCCAAAAGAGGGAAGCAGCCTAGGGATCTGTCAGACGAATGGATTAAAAAAGTTGCATATCCATATAATGGAATATTACTCAGCCTTACAAAAGGAAACCCTAAGGTGCTGCAATATGGCTGAGCCTTGAGGACATTATACCAAGTGAATACGGAGTCACAGAAGGACAGACACTGTAGGACTCCACTTCATGAGGCCCCTAGAGACAGCAGATGAGGACGGCTGGGGGTGGGGGTGGGGGGTGAACCAGAGCTGCCACGTCCGTTCTCAGCAGAGCAGCTGACCACAGCGGCACAGCAGTTCGAGGATGCTAGCGAGGCGGGCAGCAGACGTGGGCAAGGTGGGGGGCTCCATGTCATCTGTATCTTATCTGCCACCACCCATTTGAACTTCCGCTCTGGCCACATAAACAACAAAATAAACACAAAAACAGACATCTCCTCAAGGAAGGTATACAAGTGACCGGTGAGACCTGAAAAGATACTGAACATCAGGGTTAAGTTTTTAAAAAAACAACCAACCCTCATTTTTAAAAATATTTATTTTTTATTGCAGTTGGACACAATACCTTTATTTCTATTATGTGGTGCTGAGGATGGAACCCAGGGCCTCACGGGGGCTAGGTGTGCACTCTACCCTGAGCCCCAGCCCCGGCCCCTAACCGTCATTTTGAAAGGAGTGGTACTCTTAAAAAAAAGACAGTGAGCCCCTCGGCAAACCCAGTCCTGACCCCAGCAGCTGCGCTGTGCACAGTGTGGACGTGTCCACTGGGGCCAGAGTTCATCTGCACCCAGGAAGACAGGACCCTCACGGACACAGGCAGGCAGGACATGGGGAGGTTCAACGTGGCAGATGCGTCACCTTTGTTTCTTCAATAACGGCCACGGGACTCCTGACCGCGTGACTTGCCAGCACAGGCCCACTCCTGTCCACCCCTGGCACTCAGCCCCACCCAGTGCCAGGCAGAGTTTGGGCAGAGGGCTTTGGAGGACGGAGAGGAGAGGAGCTGCAGGGCCAGGAGGTGGCCACGCAGCCAGGAGGTGGCCACGCAGCCCGGAGCCGCCCACAGGCCCGGCTCACTCTGTCCAGCTTGCCCAGAGTGGTCCTTGTGTGGGTAAGCCGCGACCTCTCCATTCTAAGGAGCCGAGGGCTTGAACACCACACACGGGGGTTCTGGCAGATGGCAGTCACAGTGAGGGCAGCAGAGAGGGCGCTGCAGCGCCACAGGCAATGGAGAGGCTCCCGAGGAACCAGGGCCGCTCCAAGGCCTTCAGGAGCCTGACCGGGCACCCAGGCTTCAGCCCTCAGCACCCCCAGCCGCGGAGCCCAGGGAAGGTTTGATTTTGAAACTGTCTGCACCAGTTTAATGCCTGAAACTCGCGCTCTAAGAGCTTTTATTGGAAGGTCGGTCTATTTTTAAAAGCATCCTGGTGTTTGCATGGAAACTGCCCCAAACACCTTCCCGGAAAGCCATATCCTTCCCCTGGAGGAAGCTGAGCTTGTCCTCTCCCACGTCGTGGGGTGCAGCCATGGGAGGTCGGCTTCGAGGCGGGTGAGCCACGTGGGGGTGGGATGGGGCTGAGTCCAAGCCAGTGGAGCCCTCGGGGCTGTGTGAGAGGTTCGTGGGCCCTTCCTTCATAAAAGATATTAAAAGTTCTACTTTATGACTGCATTGATGTGAAGACAAATATGTTAATAGTATACAGTACATTTACTTCAACTACGGGTCCATTTTTCTGAT